TTCATGCTCTAACAAGGGCACTGCGTTTAGTTAAGGGCCTGACCATCAACATTTACACAGATTCTAAGTATGTCTTTTTAATTGCTCATTGTCATGGTGCTATCTGGCATAGTGAGAGGTTGGAGGTTTTGTAATGACAAAAGTCTCACTCATAGTTAATAGCAAAGTAATTATTCTTTTGTTAAAAGCCCTTGAATTACCTAAACAAGTTGCTATCATACACTTTAATGGACATCAGTTAGATTCATCCCTTATCACTGCAGGAAACAATAAGGCAGATCATATAGCAAGGGACTTAACCTTACAGTCACAAGCACACCCAAAACATACTTCCCCCATCCTGTTTTTTTTTTACCATTCCTGATTTCCATCCAAAATACACCATGGAGGAGGAACAGTCTTTCCTCAAGATAAGGGGCCACCCAAAACCCAGTGAACAGTAAACTAGCTTTGCCCCAAGAACAGAAGGTGGACATTATAGCACAAGTAAATCAGTCCCTACATATAGGAACTAAATCTCTCTTAAAATTCCTTCAGCCTCTGTTCTACTCCCCTTCTTTGACCCAGACCATTGAATCAGTACAAGATAGATGTCTCACTTGTAAATTAGGGAAGCATCCAGCCAATACCCTGTACACACAAACTCAGAGGCTATATACCTGGGCAAGATTGGCAAATTGATTTTACCCACATGCCTACTCACAAAAAATGTAAGTATCTTCTAACCATGGTAGACACCTTCTCTGGGTGGGTTGAAGATTTCCCCATCTGGTGAGAAATTGCAGACAAAGTTACAAAGACCTTACTCCAATATATCATCCCCAGGTTTGGCCTCCCTACTTCTATCCAGCCAGACAATGGTCCTGGCTTTGTCTCCAGGGTCACCCAACAAGTATCCTCCAGCTTAGGCATTTGCTAGAAACGGCATATACCATATCACCCCCAATCCGCAGGCAAAGTGGAGGGCAGGAATGAACTGATTAAGTCCCACCTCACCAAATTGGCTACTGAGTTACACAAGTCCTGGGTCAACTTGCTCCCTATTGCCTTAGCCTTTATCTGAGCAACACCCCGCTCACCATTCTTTCTGAGCCCCTTTGAGCTGATGTACAATTGACCATTTCTGCTAAACCATAACCTAGCCATTGATCCTCCTCTTTTAGCATCATATCTTTCTCATCTCTCCTTCATTAGGCAATTACTCTGGGAACATACAGACTGCTGCATACCCAGACCCTCACCTGAAGTTCTAGAACAAACAGATGAAGTTGCTCCAGGAGACAGCCCTCATCAAATGGTGTGCACCTAAACCTCTTCAACCTTCCTGGAATGGACCTTATATAGTCATCCTGATGGCCTTCACCATGGTTAAGGTCATAGGTAACCCCCATTGGCACCACCTCTCCCAGGTTAAACATGCCTCTCTCACTGAGCAGCTCTCTTATACCTCTCAAATGGTGGGTACCACTACTCTTCGCCTCACTCAGCACCCAAGTCCTAGGTAGTTCATATGTGTGGAGGTTCAAAGTAAGAGAAACATACACAGTAGTCCACTTCAACCACACACCTCGTTGACTCAGCAGATTGCCCCCAAGTGGGATGCCAAGTAGCACTCGCCATTCCAATATCACCTAAGATGGTCTCACCCCTGGGACGGGGTCTAGCATCCCCTTTTGCTTGATTCTTATTTGACCAGGTTCACTCATACTGTCGGTAATGGCCAGAGAAATATGGAGGATGCCCTTATTGGTCATGTAAAATTCATAACGCCTGAGCTGGCAGCTAAACAAACATTTTTGACTCCTCAGAGAGTAGCTTTCAGCTTCTTATTTCTGACCCCTGGGATCCCAGATGGCGAATTGGGGTTGAAGGGAAACTATGTCCCACATCCCTCTGGCACAATACACATCAGCCTGGAGTACTTTCTCGATGCCAACACCTAGGTGCAAATCTCCAAAAACGTTCTCCAAGCTGAGCAGACCATGATAAGACAAATGTCTACAGGGCCACATACTATGCAGCCCTCAAACTGGGTCCAAGTTATTCAGAGCACCTTGTTATTTCTCAACCAAAGTCAGATGGTGGCCAATCTTTCTCTTTCTCATTGCTTCCTGTGTGCTTCCTTACAACAGCCTTTGCTAGCTGCAGTACCAGTCGATTTTTCCAGGCAACACTCTACCCAAGCACCTCAAACCTCTCTGTCACCCCAAACTGAGTGCTCCACTACTCTAGAACCCGTTCCTCTTTGGAAGCTGGAACCTGATCAGCGGACAGAGTACTCTCGTGTCTGCTATACAACTTCCCCATTCATACCTCCAGTAAATGAGCATGGCAGCTGTGTGTAAAATGTTAACATAAGTGTACATACTGTAGCCAAAGCAGGACAATATTTTTGATGTAATGGTACTCTACACAAGTGCATAAATTCCAACACCAAAGGGCCCTGTTTCCCTGTAGCAGTTGTACCCCAACTCAACCCTGTGTAGTGAATCCGAGCTAATTTGACTTCTCCCCAATCCTCAAGCAAAGAGAGCAGCATTTCTCCCAATCATGGTTGGACTCAGCCTAGCCTCAGCTGTAGCTGCTAGAAGTATGGCAGGAGGAACCCTTGGTCATAGTATTATTTCTGTCCAGAATTTTGAGGATCGCTTACAGCTAGCTCTAGAGACATTAGCTTCCCTAGCCTCCTTCCAATATCAGCTGACATTGCTGTCACAAATCACCCTCCAAAATCAGAGAGCTCTAGATCTCCTGACTGCAGAGAAAGGGGGAACCTGTTTGTTCTTGAGAGAGAAATGTTGCTGTTATGTGAATGAATCAGGACTGGTAGAGAAGAAAGTGTCTCTAATTAACAAAATTAGCCAAAGAGTTAAAAAAGAAGTCTTCTCTCAAATTGGCTTGAGAACCTACTTCTAGCCTGGGTTCTACCTTTTCTAGGACCAATAATAATCATAAGCATGTTGTTACTAATTGCTCCCTGCCTTTTTAAATTCTTACTTCACAGGATAAAAGAAACGACCAACTTATCAGTAAACCAGCTGCTATTACATCCTTATTCTTCCCTGCCTACTGATCCTGGGCCATCCCAATTCATCCTCTGAGCCCCAGATCTTCACCCCTGCTCAACAGGAAGTAGCCAGGAATAATACTTTGCCCTTTTACTCATTAAAGAGGCTGGGATGTCAGGCCAGGACCAAGGTCGAAGGGAGAACAAAGGACTCAAGGAAGGTCAACATGTCGACAAAGGGTGTGAACAACCTCCCTCTTCTGACTAAACCATGGAGTGTCCCTCCCTTCCCTCCCTGGGGGACCACCTACCTGGCTAAATCACAATAGAATATCCCTCCCTTCCCTCCTTACTATAAAACCTGCCCTAATCCACCTTGGGGTGTGGTATTCCCTGGTTTGGCTCTCTGTCTGTCTCTTTTTCTGCAGACCAAGGAATACTACCTGGGAGATCCCGTAATAAAGCTTCTTTAGCTTCCTTCCCTTCCCTTCTCTTCCCTTCCCTGTAGACATTTGTCTTATCATGGTCTGCTCAGGACATGAGGCATTTGCCACAGAAGGTCAAAGACCTTCAATTTGTATTGAAGCTCAACATCAAGAAAACAAAGATTCTCAGCACTGGGACGATTGGCAGCATCATGATAGATGGTGAAGAAATTGAGATTGTTAACAGCTTCAGCTTGCTTGGCCTAACAATTAACACTCTTAGTAGCAGCATTCAAGAACTCAAAAGATGAATTGCAATTGGAAAATTTGTTGTCAGGGACATCTCCAGAGTACTGAGGAGCAACAATTTCAGTCTAGAGACTAAGGTGAGCCTGATCCAGGCCATGTTCTTCACATTTACTTGCTATACATCGGAGAGCTGGACAATGACAAAGGATGATAGAAGAATTATTGATGCCTTTGAGTTGTGACGCTGGAGAAGAGTATTGAAAATACCATGGACTGCAAGGAGAATAAACAGGCTTCTCCTGGAGAGAATGAAACCAGGCTGCACCTTGGAAGCAAGGATTTTGAAGCTCTGTCTGATAAACTTTGGGCATGTTGCAAGAAAGGACTAGTCCTTGGAGAGGGACATCATACTTGGAAGGGTGGAGGGACAGTACAAGAAAGGAAGATCCTAGATGAGATGGATTTACTCAATGACTGGAGTAATGGGGGTATATGTGTCAGAGACAATGAGGCTGGCTCAGGATAGAGCAGGTTTCAGAGCTGTTGTACAGAAGTCACAAGTAAGTCACACGTAACTCAATGACACATAACAACAAGAACAACCACTGTTCTTTAGCAAACATCCTTTGCCAGGGGTAGTAGGATGAATGCTGGCAAAATCACTCGCATATATCTTACAACAAATTTTTTGTCAGTATTTGTACTCATTTTCAAAACGGACTTTAGTCATCTTCACCAGGATACAAAAGTAATGCTGACCAGATTTTTGTTTTACCCCACATTCTCAAATAATAATTTGCTTTAGACATTTCGGCTTCCTTTTTTCAAGTAACCCAATTCATACATGACTCCAGTCATTAATGCAAAGGTCCTTGTTTTAGATGAAACTTCTTGGAAATTTTGTTTCAGGGAGTAGCCACAGGCCTCTCAAATTCTGCCTGTTATGCCACATGTCTAAGAATGTCTCAAAGCAGTTATCTAGGTCACATGGAACCATGAGAGGATATAAAAGAGAAGAAATTTTGTGGGAAGTTTTCAAATGGAGAAAGATTTCTGGTTCTATGAAATTTCCAAGATGTTTAAGTTTCATAATTTTAAAAATAAAAACACTTCTCAAAAAAAACCCAAACACTTCTCTCTCTCTCTCTCTCACACACACACACACACACACACACACACACACACACACACACCTTGCCAGGCCATAGCTGAATCTATGATTTCTTTTTTTTTTACTATCCTTTTTCCTCCTTAATTTTCTCACTTAAAAACTTTCGGATATCAAATATTTGTTTTTCACATAAAGGCAAGAAACTTACGCGACTTTGGCACAGACAGTACATTTCCAGGTACCATCAAGGCCCACAACTCGACATTCGTTGCACACCCTTAGTGAGCAGGCTTGGCATGGGTCTCCTCGGTCGAATATCAAGCCCAAGTTTCTCTGGCAATGGACACAGACTCTGTTAGTCTCCTGTTGAGTCTTTCCACCTCTACGCTTTGCTTCTAAGAGTTCATTTTTCAACTTCCTGGAAAAAGAGAAATTAAAAATCACTTTAAAAAAACAGAGGAGCAGAGTTATCTTAATAAGAAATGGTTTAGTTTGGAAGAAGAGTTGAAAGAGCCAAGGAGTCAGAGCCAAATATTTTCAGGAATACAGTTTGTACAGAGTAAAAAATTCCTTTATATCAACAGTTGACAAATACAATATTTAGGCTATATTTTAAGTTCCAACAGCATCCATTAGCACATATAATTTCTGGATGACACATTATTAGGCCGGCCTTTGACAATATCTAAAATATTCATAGTCTAAACTCAACCATAGGTGACTCAGAAGAAAGGTCTCATCATCTCCTTCTAAAACGTCACAGCTTGGAGAATATTGTGAACCTCTACACTGTAACACATAGGATTGTCATGTGTCAGTATCAATTCAATAGCAACTGTTTTTTGTTTTCCAGCAGTACAACTCTTTCCATTGTTTTGGTAGTAGGATTTCTTCAAATTTGAATCTTTTCACATTCAACTTCTCTGATATCTTTTTGGTACTGTAACATTGGAGTAGGACAGTCATGAGATGAGGTAAATACGTGAAACCAATGAGCATCACCAGTATGTTCCTTAAGGATCCAATGAACACTGTACCTACAAAGATATTACCTCCCATTTCAGTTCTAAATGCTTCTGCTTGGCATGCAATTTCCATACACCGATTGTAGTGGGTATGAAACTGCACTGTCAACACAAGGCACACTGATTGTATCCCCCAGCTACTCCATGGAAGAAGGATGATAAATCTCCTCCCGAGTGATTTATTGCCTCTGAAAACCTGCTAGAAGGTCATCTATAGGTTGGTTCTGACTTGATGATACACAACAATGTACTTTACAATGAACTTAGGGAGCTTGTTGGGCTGCCAACTCCAAGGTTCATGGTTAGAACCTACCAGTTGCTCCAGAGAAGAAAGATGGGCAATCAATCTCTTCTCATGTGATTTACAACCTTCAAAAATCTGCTAGGTCTGATTGAGTCTATTCTGACTAAATGGCACACAACAACAACACATACTTCACAAGACTTCCACTGGAGACAAGAATGTCCCTGGGTGGACTTGAACCACCAATCTTCTTAACAATTGGACACACTACACAAGTGTGCAACAGAGTTGTTGCATATTTTGGGCATGTTATCAGGAGGGCCAGTTCCTGGAAAATAACATCATGCTTGAAAAAATGTAGAGGGTCAGTGAAAGAGAGGAAGATTTTCAACAAGATGGACTACACAGTGTTTGCAACAATGGACTGAAGTAGATATTGTGAAAACTGCACAGGATTGGGTAGGGTTTTATTCTGTTGAACGTAGTTTTGGAGCTAACTTGATGGCTCCACACTAGCTCTGGGGCCCTAACGGACACTGCCATCCAAAAGGCAATAGTTAGCAACTCTGAGGGAGCAAAATGGGAAGTTTCTTTCTGTGCAATTTATAGCCACAGAAAACCTGCTAGAGGGTCAGCTATCAGTCAATCCCAACTCAATGCGTAGGTGTTAAATACATGGCAAATGTATATGCTTTCTTTTACTAACTGCAATGTAATATATTCCCTTTGAAAACTTGCTGTTCAAAGTGTAGTCCTCATTCCAGCAAAATTGACATCCCCTGGGAACTTGTTAGAAATGCAGAATTTCAGTCTCAGCCCTACTAGCTCAGAATCTCCAAAATCTGACAGTATGTCCAAGAGGTTTGAGAAGCACAGCTTTAGGGCATTTATTCTGAAACTTGGCTGTACTTTGGAACCACATGAGTTTTCTTTAGAAATTACACTGAATCCTAGATCTCACTTAATCTCATCCCCATAGATTCTGATGTTATTGGTTTGAGGTGTGGCTTGGGCAGTGATATTTTTAAGTTTTCCTGTTTTATTCTAATTATAGTCAAATTTAAAACAATGATGTTCTAGGAGTCAAGTTCATTCCCCCTTACATAGTTCATTGGCATTCCTTTCTTTTCTGCTACTTACATCCAATACCTTATTTAACACAAAATGTCTCTTTTCAAGAAAAATAAAACACACCTAAAACGTCCTAAATATTTCATACTGTTTCCTTTTACATCTGTAGTACTGTATTCTATCACATTCAAGGAGACTAGCATCTCTTCAAAGGCAGGAATAATGATTTTTGTTTCTTTTGTACACTGTACATAATCCAATTCCATGATATGTTATACAGAAGTTACATGTTTAGAGTAATTAATCAACCCCTTTTCACTTAAACATACATCTGTGCATGCGAGGTGAACAGTGCTAAAGGAACATGTTCCTGCTCAGCTTGTGTCTTCATTATTGTATACTTCCTACTTCCACTCCAGAGGGTCCAGGATCACTATGAGTGAGCGTACTTACCAGTTCCCTTTAACATCAAGTACTCCCCAGTTTCAGCAAGCAAGGTTAGATGGAAGTAGTATAGATGTAACTATAGCATGGATGGAACTATAAACCAGGGCTCTTCATTTCAGCCCAAGAACGGATTTTTTTTAAGTTATGAGTAATATTTCCAAAGTCTTTTTTCATTGTCTCATTCATGCATCCAGGGAACATTTATTAAGTGCTTATTATGTATTAGTGGAACTCTGGCTGTTCAGTGATTAAAATGTACAGCTGCTGGCTGAAAGGCTGGCTGTCTGAAACTACCAGCTAAACTAAGATGAGGCAGTTAGCTTTAGGAAGAATTAGAACCTTGGAGCTGTATGGTGTCATTCTATTCTGCCTTATAGAGTTATTATGAGTCAGAATTTACTTGATGATAGTGGGTTTAGTTGGGATTATTTTTTTCACTGTGTGAGTCTTGTGTCTAAAGAGAATAATCAATTAAGACAATACATCTGTTAGCACTTCTCTCATCTCCATCAAGCGTAATGAACTCATAGCTGACTCTCCACTGGGTTTCAAGTCAATCACGCAGGAAGAAATTTGCTCATCTTTTTTTTCTGAGGATCAGCTGGTGGATTCGCACTGCCAGAGAGGTTGAGCCTTTGGGTTAGTAGAACTACAACTCCCTATGGACTACACCACCAGAGTACCCTTCATCTGATAAAGCTCCCCATTATCCTTGATTTCAGTCAATAAAGAAATAACACGGGATGATTCATGTGTTGCAAAGCACCCTTAAGCACTCTCTTGCATCTAAGCCCCAAGAAAAAAAAATTTACAACACTTGTTTTCCTAGTCACTGATTTAGAGTTTCAATGACCCTTATAGCCTCAAAGAGAGAGGCTGGCTTAAAGTTGAATGTAAGAAAAGTATCACACAATATAATTATGAGAACTTAGAAAAACTGCAGATTTTTAGGTGATAGAATGAGTTCTCATTTGAAAATCACAGTTGTATTATTTGTGTATCACAATAGATGTTTGAATACTTCCGTGAATAGGAGAAATAAATCATTGTCTATTCAAAATCTACAGCAATTCATTCATTAGTGATAAAGTGATCTAAATGTGTAGAACAAAGATAGTAATCTGAGCTCATAGTTCTATTTCAGTAGGTTGGTGAGTCAGAGTATTAAACTGATAAAATGGTATACTGGCAAGCAGGGTATTCGAGAGATAAATTGTCTGGACAGTATTATATTATCACGTACTTGAAGTTTAACTACTTAGGAGTTCCTTAAACTACAATGACTTAGACTACTGGAATAAATTATAGTCACAAACCTACACTTTTTTATTACCCCTTTTTTGTGCTCCACTGACAGGATTTCATTTAGCAATTAGACTTAGTTTACTGTGTCTGAAAGGATCAGTTCAGCCAACTCCTAAGGCAATTGGTGTTAATGCTGCCACATCCTCTAGTAGCTGTCTCAGGGACATGTGAGAGTAGCTGAGAAGAATTTTATAGCCTGGCACAAAATATGAAAGGGTTTACTGATTCTTCTAATCTCTCTTCGAAACTGATCCCATTCAAACAAAACCTCAAACTCATTGCCGTTGTGTCAGACTGACTCACAGCTGACCCTCCATTGTGTTTTTGAGGGTGAAAATTGCACAGGAGATTGTCTATATTTTTACCCCTTGGAACCACAGATGGATTCCAACCATTAGACAGGCATGGATTTTAAGTAGCACAACTCCCTACCAAGTACACGACCAGAGCTCCTACAATCATACCAGGAGACTCCATGGTAAATGGGCACAGTCATCTTTTATACACTCGAGAAAACGAAGGGGAAATGCACTGGAGCAAAAAAGGTGAAATAGAGGAAATAGTATTTAGGGTTAAAGGAAAATACAGGGAGCTTTGCTCTACTAACCAGACTTATTAAACAAGATACACTTCATTTGATTTCTGCATTGTTGACCAATTCTCAGGAAGGTATCTGAGGAAAGTGAACTTCTGGCTGCAAGCATAATTACTGCTTCTCAAAGAAGCATCAGCTAGAAATGTCCCTGGTTCTAAGTAACAGAGTTTCTAGATGAATGCCATGTCTGTCGCCTAACTAGACCTCCAGAGTTAAGCAGTTATCGGCATTAGTTGCAAAATATCATAAAGGGCTCAACATTTTCTTCTTGCTGCTCCCCTATCCTCAAGGCATGAATTGAAAGTATACCTTATGTACGAAAGTGAAGTCAGGGCCAGAAAAGCATCCATATTTAAGACAAGAGGAAAAGGGAGGGGCGTTTTTAGCTGTACCCATCTCTTAGAAAAGTGAAAACTGATCCAGATATCCTCCCATCATATTGCCTGCTCCCATTACATCTGCCTCACCACTAGCTGTAAGGAAGGCAGGGAAAGTGAAATCACATGCCTTTAAGTAAAAAAAATATAGAGGGTACAGAATGATTCTCTGTCCTTTTAAAAAATAAACTTTTTATTTAGCTTTTTAAATTCATATATACTGTGCTTCATTAATATACATTCCATTTTATATAATTAATTACTAGTTCCCCTCCCTTTCTCCCTTTTCTTTCCCCCTTTTGAATAGTTAGAAATATCCTGTTCCTATTTGCTAGTTGCATTAGTCATATTGTC